CAGGAAGCTGATACAGGAGAATCGCTTGAACCCAGAAGGCAGAGGGGTTACAGTGAGCTGAGATCACCCCACTGTACTCCAGCCTGGGCAACAGAGTGAGACTCTGTCTCAATAAATAGATAAATAAAAAGACACTGGGGGCCGGGCACGGTGGCTCAAGCCTGTAATCCCAGCACTTTGGGAGGCCAAGGCGGGTGGATCATGAGGTCAAGAGATCGAGACCATCCTGGTCAACATGGTGAAACCCCGTCTCTACTAAAAATACAAAAAATTAGCTGGGCATGGTGGCGCGTGCCTGTAATCCCAGCTACTCAGGAGGCTGAGGCAGGAGAATTGCCTGAACCCAGGAGGCGGAGGTTGTGGTGAGCCGAGATCGCGCCATTGCACTCCAGCCTGGGTAACATGAGTGAAACTCCGTCTCGAAAAAAAAAAAAAAAAAAAAGACACTGGGCTGTAGCTCAGATTACACAAGTATCTCAATCTACAGGATATCAATGAGGCAATAGGGAAGAGGCAATATCCTGCTTCACCTTCCACTTCACTGTGTTGGAGTCTGGTGGACAAGCCCTATCCCTCACTCTGCCATCCTGTTTCTTAGTGATATTTTCCATCATTCAGGTATGGATATCTGAGGTCTGTCTTAAACAGTGGTAGACAATTTCCTTGATATTCTTAATTGCTTATTTTTTCATTGACTTATAAATGAGAAAAATATACTAAAAATGTGAGGCTATCAACAAATTCTGCTGGATGTTGATTATAATCACAGTGACTAAGTTGTTACGCATACATTTTAAAATCCAGAGTTACTGTGTATTTTTGTTTCTGCATGCTGCCTGTCTGAAGTAAATTTTAGTCTCCACTGCCTGCTTCTACTGTAATGGCTTCATGTCATTTCTCTTCCCCAGTTTCCTTACACCCTCCCGTATATTTTATAAAATAATAACTTTTACTAAATACTGCTGTAAATTTCACATGTATTTTGACAAATGCATGTAACAGTTCTAAAACAAAGAATTATCTCCCTTTAACATCTGAGAAAATTGATAGAAAATTGATCAGAAAAGATAGTAATTGGCCCACAATTCTGGACACTTAGTACACAAAGAGAAATTATCAAATCATGATGCATATACAATGGGGTGCTGAAAACAGTTAAGAATGATGATGGAAAAATTAGGCTTATAAAACCATTAGCATAAAGCATCATTCTCAAACCAGTCAAACATGGAAAGGTAGTCTTAAAATTGTTAAATGGTCACCTCTGGAAATAGACCATATGTAAGCTTCTTTCTGAAGAAAATGGTGAATACAGGAACACCAGTGGCACACCTGAGGACTTGTAAGAACATAACTGACAGTATGGGTGCAATGGTTCACGCCTATAATCCCAGCACTTTCAGAGGCCAAGGCAGGCAGATCACCTGAGGTCAGAAGGACCAGCCTGGCCAACATGGTGAAACGTGGTCTCTACTAAAGATTAGCTGGGTGAGGTGGCACGTGTTTGCATTCCCACCTATTTGGGAGGCTGAGGCAGGAAAATCGCTCGAACCCAGGAGATAGAGGTTGCAGTGAGCCAAGATCATGCCACTGCACTACAGCCTGGGTGACAGAGTGAGACTCCATCTCAAAAAAGACAGAAGAGAACTGACAGAAGCAAACATCTTTTAAATGTTCTTTATTTTTTTGCATTATGAAATAGTTTAAATATACAGAAAGACAGAGTAACAACTGACTCATATACTCACAATCAGCTTTATCAAAGTATAAGAATTGGCTATACAGTATTTGCTTATTTTTGAAAGAAACAATTAAAGATATTTTCATTTGCATCCTTTCCCCAGTCTCATTTTTCTTTCTCCCTGTGGGTCACCGTGGTTCTGAATCTGAGGATTATTTTATGGATTCTTTTTATATACTATTTAGCCATCAAAAATATACATAACACTAATTAGCATGTTTTCAAATTGTATATGGTATACTATGTTTACAAAATACTCTGTAGTTCAATAAGGCTATTTTTGAGTTTTACCCATGTTGACAGAAATATCTCATTATTCATTTTAATTTGTATTCTATCTTGTATTTAGCCTAATGGTTAGATTGCTTTCAACTTTTCATTCTCACAAGGAGAGACTATGTAGAGATTTAAACATGGAATTGCTGGGTCAAAGATTATTCACATCTTCCACTTGACTAGACATTACCAAATTATGCTAAATACAACTACTTCTAGTAGCACCGTATGAGTGTTCCTATTGCTCCACATCTTTCCAGTAATTGGCACTCTAATGCTTTTGCTAATGTGAGGATTTTGAAATAGTTCACTGTGATTTTATTTTGCATTTCCCTTACTACTAGTGAGGTATATAATTATCCTAATACCCCCAAATCAAATCTTTCTCTGCTGGTTTGAACCGTCATCATATGCAGTTTCTACAAGGAGATTCGATAATTTTCTTGCTGTTCTTAAGAATTTATACCTCATAGAAAAATTTCAGAACAAACTTGTGAAGCTAAAGGGGAAGAAATACAATGAAACATTTTGGCTGAAATTACAGTGAATTTGTTAATTAGGAAAAATTGCCAACTTTATCTTCAGTCTCTGCAGTCTAGGCTATATAATGCTCCTTATTTTCTTGTTGTTCTTCAGTTTTCTGGGTTTAGAGAATCTACTGTTTTATATTTAAGTATTAATTTAACTGTCTCCGCCTCTGGAATTTAACTCCATGGGAATGTGGCCTTTGTATTGCTCACTGTCATTTCCTCATACCTAAAACAGTGTCTGACAAATAGTAATTACTCAATATTAACAGAATGAATGCCTATATTAATATATGTATATCTGTCTGTTGTTTTCTTCCCTTAATCCCTTTTGATTTCAATTTTGCAATCACTGGATTAAAAAAAATTTTTAACTTTACATTATTTTCTATAGTATAGAACACTTTGCATGCTTTTAAATTACCTGAATTTACCCATACAATTACCTGGGTGTGGTGCCTCTTTTTTTTTTTTTTTTTTTTTTTTTTTTTTTTTTTTTTTTTTTTTTTTTTTTTTTTTTTCTTTTTTTTTTTTTTTTTTTTTTTTTTTTTTTTGTGTGGCAGGACATTTATTTCCCTTGTTATCGCAATATTGTAATCTCATTACAAATTGATTGGCATTGTTTTCAGAACAAGAAGTTTTTTTTTTTTTTTGAGGCAGAGTCTCTCCCCGTCATCCAGGCTGGATGCTCACTGCATCCTCCACCTTCTAGGTTCAAGCAATTCTCCTGCCTCAGCCTCCTCATTAGCTGGGATTACAGGCATGCGCCACTACGCCCAACTAATTTTTGTATTTTTAGTAGAGATGGGGTTTCACCATGTTAGCCAGGCTGGTCTTGAACTCCTGACTTTGTGATCTGCCCACCTTGGTCTTCCAAAGTGCTGGGATTACAGGCATAGACCACCGTGCCCGGCCAGGATGTGGTGCCTTTTTAAAGGGACCACATGAATTTCTGTGTTTATTTTATTGATTTTTTTTAGGTAATTGTCACCATTTCTATTCCTTCCTTGATCTAAATGTAGGTTCTGCATTCTCCCCAGTGAATTATATTTTTCTTATTTTAATTGGCTTGTCCAATTCATTATCTTTAGAAACTTCCTAAAACTGGCTATTATTGTTATCGTTCCAATACCTGAGTTTATATGAACTACTCAGCTACAGAACAAAGACTGACATTTATGTTCTAAAATTTTCAGATTTTCCAAATTCTAAACTGGTGTTTTGCAGGAATGCTCTACTTTGTCCAATAAGGAATCTTGTTTTGGTTGTGAGGAGTAAATCAGTTAACATTTCTAGAGTATGTAAGACAGTGCCTGATGTGCGGTGGGCACTCAATATATGCTAGCTATTACCATTTATTGAACATCTGCAATATTTGACAGACTATATGAAGTACTTTTACATGCAAATTTCTCATTCAATATGCATCTACAACAGAAACTATTTCACTTCTTACATTTCTACGATACAGTATCCCTTATTATTCCTATTTTAAGAATTAAAGAAAACCCTGAGGTTTAGATAAGCAAGTTGCTTACAGTCACACAATGTCATAGTAGTGGCAGAGCTGCGATTTTCCAGAATCTAAGCTCTTAGTCCTGGGAAGTACCTAGTGCCCAAAGAAGAAGATTGGAATAAAATAAGGCTGAATGGTGTGTAAGAACCAGATAACAAAAAGCCTCACAATTTTAAAGGCTGTGAATGTTAGTCTAAGAAGAGTTAACAACAAAAAAAGAAGTTTTAACTGAAGATAGTAAATGTGTTTTCTTGTACTTTAAAAAGAACAATTGGAGGTTGGGCGTGGTGGCTTGTGCCTGTAATCCTAGCCCTTTGGGAGGCCAAGGCAGACAGATTGCTTGAGATCAGGAGTTTGAAGCAGGGTGTGGTGGCTCATGCCTGTAATCCTAGCACTTTGGAAGGCTGAGGCAGGCAGATCATGAGGTCAGGGGTTTGAGACCAGCCTGACCAACATGGTGAAACCCTGTCTCTACTTAAAAATACAAAAATTAGCCAGGCGTGGTGGCGCCCACCTATAATCCTGGTTACTTGGGAGGCTGAGGCAGGAGAATCACTTGAACCCAGGAGATGGAGGCTGCGGTGAGCCAAGAGCATGCCATTGCACTCCAGCCTGGGTGACAGAACAGGACTCTGTCTCTGAAAAAGAAAAAGAGAGAGAGATCATGAGTTCGAGACCAGCCTGAGACCAACATGGCAAAACCCCAACTCCACTAAAAAATACAAAAATTATCCAGGCATGGTGGTGCATGTCTGTAGTCCCAGCTACTCGAACCCTGGAGGCAGAGGCTGGGAGGCAGAAGCTGGAGTGAACTGAGATCAAGCCACTGCACTCCAGCCTGGGCAACAAAGCAAGACATTGTCTTAAAAAGAAAAAAAAAATCAGTTTGAATGCATTGTGGGAAATGGATTGAAAGGTAGAAAAAATAAATACAGGAAGACCTGTTTGAAAGCTATATAGTAATCAGAGTGAGATGAATCAGACCAAAGTAACAATATTAAAGATAAAAAAAAGAGTGTATAAATTCTAGAAATATTTAGGACACAGGATCTATAGGACTTGGTGATTGACTGGGTTGGGTGGTGACAGTGACTCCCCATTGTGAATTCTCTGATGATGAGCAAGGTGTGCATGCTGCCTGAAGGTTTTTTTGCATTCTTTACATTCATAGGGTCTCTCTCCGGTATGAATTCTCTGATGTTGGGCAAGGGATCCACAGTAACTAAAAGCCTTTCCACAAACGGTACATTCATAAGGTTTCTCTCCAGTATGAACTCGCTGATGTTGAGTAAGGGATGAGTCATTGCTAAAAGCCTTCCCGCATTCTATACATTCATAGGGTTTCTCTCCAGTGTGAACTCTTTGATGCTGAGCAAGGTAGGCAATCTGGCTGAATGCTTTCCTACATTCCTGACACTTATAAGGTTTTTCTCCAGTATGAATTCTCTGATGTTGAGCAAGATGTGAATTCTGGCTGAAGGCCTTCCCACATTCCTTACATTCATAGGGTCTCTCTCCAGTATGTATTCTCTGATGTACAGTAAGGTATGCACGAAGGCTAAATGCTTTCCCACACACATTACATCCATAGGGTTTCTCTCCAGTATGAACTCTCTGGTGTTGAGCAATGGATGATCTGTTGCTAAATGCTTTCCCACATTCAATACATTCATAGGGTTTCTCTCCTGTATGAACTCTCTGATGTTGGGCAAGGTAGGCAAACTGGCTGAAGGCCTTTCTACATACCTTACATTCATAAGGTTTTTCTCCAGTATGAACTCTCAGATGTTGAACTAGATGTGCATTCTGACTGAAGGCTTTCCTACATTCCTTACATTCATAGGGTTTTTCTCCAGTGTGAATCCTCTGATGTTGAACAAGATTTGATCTCTGGCTAAAGGCTTTTCCACACTCTATACATTTATAGGGTTTCTCTCCAGTATGAATTCTTTGATGAAGAGTAAGGGATGAACTCTGGCTGAAGACTTTTTCACAGTCTTTACATTTCAAAAGTTTCTTCTCTGCACAGACACTCTTGGGCTTAATACCCATTAAATTTTTTTTAAAGCTTCCCTTATGTATATCATGTTTATGTACTTTCTCCACTTTGGGGATTATCTTTTGTGCACAAAGCAGTGGGTTCTGATGAAAACTTCCCCAAGATTTATATTCTTGTTCTCTTTCATCGACAAGGGCTTCTTCATGAGTGATTATCTCTTCCTTGAAACATGCCTTCTGATTCCCTGGTTGCCTCTCAAAATAGCCCTCACATTTCCATTCTTCTCTCAAACTGGAGTACTCAAGGTTATACCTTGTGAGTGTTTCTATTATCTGCTGGGATTGATGTTCTTTATAAAAGTCCTGCTTTGGGGTTATTTCTTCAGTCTCACATAGAGGCTCCCAGCCTGAAAAGTAATAATAAGAAAAAATGTCTCCTCTATTGAGTATTCGAAAGTACATTTGAGAAAGTACGTCTGTAAAGTAAAATGTCAATTTAATGGCAAGTAAAACCCACAAGAATATTGGCTTTTGCAGTTCTGAAGTATACAAGAAGAGAAACTCAAAACAGGTCATACAGAAACCGAAGGAGGAAAGATTAGAATTATAAAAGAAAAATCAGTAAATCTCAGGGCAGGAAGAAATTAGAGATGTGGCCAGAGTGGGTTACAATGTTATGCCTGTATTAGGAAAACAGACACTGAAATAGTCTCCATTCTTATAGCTGCTTCATTCAAGAACATTCACTGAACAAATATTTATCTTGTGCCAAATTCTTTTCTGATGCTTTTAATATCAAAAAACAAAGATCCTTACCTTCAGGGATGTTATTTTCTTAAAAGAGACAGAAAATAAGTGATTAGTAAATTTTATTTTATGTTAGAAGATACTAAAGTGCATCAGATAAAGAAAATCAGGGTAGGGGATATCAGGAGTACTGATGAAATTAGAGCTAGGAATCATTAATAAGTTCACACTTAAGCTAAGATTTGAAAAAAGTGAAGAAGTCAGTCATTCAAGTTTCTGGGGAAAAAGCATTCAGGGAAGAAGCAGCAGCTGGTTTAATGGCTTCAAACGTTAAAAGCATGTCTACTACGTTTAGGGAATAATAAGAAGGGCAGTGTGTCTATAGAGGGGGTGGCAGGATATAAAGTCAGGAAGTGAAAGGTAATGACAGTATTTAACCTTCACAGGCCTTCTAAGGAATTTGTCTTTTACTCTGAGACGGGTAGTGTATCAGTTTGTTTTCACGTTGCCATAAAGACACTACCTGAGACTGGGTAATTTATAAACAAAAGAGGGTTAACTGACTCACAGTTCTGCATGGCTAGGAAGGCCTCAGGAAACTTACAATCATGGCAGAAGGTGAAGGGGAAGCAGGCATCTTCTTTATAAGGTGGCTGGAAAGAAGGAGAGAGAGGGAAGGAAGAAGTGAGGGATGGAGAGAGAGAGAAAGAGAGAGAGAGGAAACAGGGAAAACTGCCACTTTTAAAGCATCAAGTCTTGTGAGAACTTCCTCAATATCATGAGAACAGCATGGGGAAAACTGCCCCCATGTTCCAATCACCTCCCACCAGGTCCCTTCCTCAACACATGGGGATTATACTTCAAGATGAGATTTGGATGAGGACACAGAGCCAAACCATATCAGATGGTAATGTAGTTCCATCCAGATCTCATCTTGAAATGTAATCCCCAATGCTGGAGGTCGGGCCGGGTGGGAAGTGACTGGATCATGGGGGTGGATTCCTCATGAATGGTTTAGTATCATCCTGTTGATACTGTCATGACAGTGAGTGAATTCTCATGACAGCTGGTCCTTTAAAAGTATGTGGCACCTCCCGCCTCTCTCCTGTGCTCCTGGCTTTTGCCAAGTGATATGCCTGCTCTCCGTTCACCTTCTGCCATGACTGGAAGCTTCCTGAGACCTCCTGAGAGGAAGATGCCACTGTGCTTCCTGTACAGCCTGCAGAACTGACAGCCAATTAAACCTCTTTCCGTAGAAATTACCCAGTCTCAGGTATTGTATTTCTTTACAGCAGTGCAAGAACAGCCTAACACAGATGGACACACATTGTAGTGGGCTCAGTAGAGGAGTAATATCTGGTTGCTATTCCATGAAATCACTGGAAGGTGGAAAACAAGGAGAAAAGCAAGGAAAACTATTATTATACTAGGCCAGCTAAGTGATAGGTAACATTGGGAGATACCAACAGACAAATAGTGAGGGGATTAGATCCTAGGTGTATTTTATAGACTGATCCAAGAGAATATTCTAACAAACTGAACCTAGAATGGATATAAAAAATGGGAAAAGCATTCCTCCTGAGTTTATGGTCTGAGCAGTGGAAGGATAAAATCGCCACCAATAACAGTGGGGAAAGCCATGAGTATAGCAGGTTTGTGTGGCAAGGTAGGGAAGATCTGGAGTTCAATTTTAAGAATATTAAATTTAAGCTGTTCGTTAGACTTTGAAATGGAGACGCTGAGTAGGCAGATAGATAGACATGTGACACTGGAATTTAAGAGAGAGGTCTGAGCTCGAGATTTGAAATTGGAAGTTGTCAGCAGGTAGGTGGGATTTAAAGAAACTAAATTACCAAGAGGATGAGTGTAGATAAAAAAAAGAAAAAAGGGCAAGAAAAGAACCTTACAACACTCCAACATGAAGATATTTGGCAAGAGGGAAGAAACTGACAAAAGAGATTAAGAAGGAGCAAATGTAAAGAAAAATCAAGGCTCAGTACATTCATACCACAATATTAAAATATAAACTTGATAATATGATAATAAAAATCAACTTGAGCTGGACATGATGGCTCACGCCTGTAATCTCAACACTTTGAGAGGCTAAGGTGAGAAGACTGCCTGAACCAGGAGTTTGAGACCAGCCTGGGAAACACAGCACTACTTCGTTTCTACAAGAAAACAAAAAAAGCTGGCTTTGGTGGTGTGTGCCTGTATGCACAGCTACTTAGGAGGCTGCAGAAGGAGGATCATTTGAGCCTAGGAGGCCAAGGCTACAGTGAGCAGTGATCATACCACTGCACTCCAGCCTGGGTGACAGAACAAGACCTTATTTAAAAAAAAAAAAAATTCATTTATAATGATTACTCTCGTTTAAAGATTATCATTTTCAATAATAAAATGTACTATTACAATGAGACACATGGTATTGAAATACATTAGGCAAGAAATGTCACCAAAATTATTAATAACAAATAATAGTAACCATTAAAAATAATTATGTATATGTAGTAGCTTGTCAAAACACCACAAATAAATCATTAGATAAATGAAAGATACATAAAGAATGTAGGAACTATGAGGGAGATTACTGTATTATTTATACTTTTATAGCTTTATCTAATAAGAATATTACTTTCCAATTTTTGAATCAGTTGTAAAAAGCAAAAGAAGAAAGCATAAAGAAAATAATTAACATTAGAAAGATATCTTTAACATTGACAACAACCACCACCACAAGGGAAAATACCCTAGAAATAAATTAACAAGAAATGAGCAAAATCTTTAAAAGTCAAATGACGAACTTCCCCCTAACTCCCCACAAAAAGTATGAATAATGGGAGAAGATGCACACCTTGTTTTTTTTACATGAAGATTCACCAATGTACATCCATTGATGTTCACTAAATTCATCTATTATTTCTATTCAATTACAATCAAAGCCTCATAATGAACTTTTCCAGAATCGTGTAATAAAGAATCTGGCTGGCCTTTATTTCTGGTTCTCAGGAATTAACCTCTGAGCCCTGAGTGGTAGGAAAAGAGTGCCAAAGAGGATCTTTGTAATTCATGGTGGGCCCTGCAGGCCACATCTGATAGTTTGTACTAATGAGGTGCCTTCTGGTAGGTCCCTAGATATTTTGTGCTAATAATATGACTCAGGATGGAGGCTAGCCAAGCCAGAAAGATCAATCATGTAATTAGAGGGTTGAGCCCTTGAGCCACCTTGATTATTAAATCAAACTCTGGGACAGGAAGGAGTGTTGGAGACTGAGACATATAGTTAATGATTAAATCGATCATTCCTATATAATAAAATTCCAATAAAAACTCTGGACACTGAAGTTCAGAACTTCTTTGTATGGCAATATTTCTTTAAAAATTTAATAATTTTTTAACTATTGAGATGACTAGAAGGCCCCTGAGAATAACAGAAGCTTTGCATTTCAAACCCTCCAGGTCTTGCCCTTGGCATCCCTCCTTGCTGGTTCTGATTTGTATTCTTTTGCTGTAATAAAACTGTCATTTTAATATAGCTCCTTCCTGAGTTCTGGGAATTATTCTAGTGAATTACCAAACCTGAGAGTGGGCTGAAGTGAAGGGTTCCCTGGGGACTTCCAAACTTGCGGCTGGCATCTGAAGTGACTGCAGATTTGTAGAGCACTATCCTCTCAGATTTTAGAGTCTGACAAACTCCTTGCAAGAATGTCTTTTTTAAAAAAATCCTGAAGATCATTAAAAAATAAAAATGCCTCTAATATAGACCATATGTTAGGCCAAAAAACAAACGTAAAAATGAAAAAGATTAAAATCGTACAACTATCTTATCTGATTACAATTAATTAAATAAATCTAGAAACCAATGGCAGAAGGGGGAATGAGAAATCTATAAATATGTGAAAATTAAACAGCACACTCTTACACAACAAGGAGCAAAGAAGAAATTATAAGGAAAATTAGAAAATACCTTATGACAAATGAAAACCAAAGCACAACATATAAAATTTATGGGATACAGTGAAAACAGTGCCAAAGAGGATTTTATGACTGTAAATACTTACATTAAAAAAGATTTCAAATCAACAACATAACTTTACATTTTAACAAACTAGAAAAAGAAATGCAAATTAAATCCAAAGTTAGCAAAAGAAAAAAATAATATTCAAGCCGTGATAAACAAAATAGAGAATAGAATAACAAGAGAAAATCAATAAAACCAAGAGTTTATGCTTTGAAAAAAAATCAACAAAGTCATAAACGTTTAGGTAGACTGACAAAGAAAAAAGAGAAAAGACTCAAGCAAATCAGAAATTAAGGAAGCTAACATTCCTACTAATTTTACAGAAACCACAAAGGATTACAAGAGAGTACTATGAACAACTATATGCCAGCAAATTGGATGTCTGGGATAGAATGGACAAATTCCTGGAAACACACACCTATGAAGAATGAATAATAAAGAATCAGAAAACCTTAAGAGAGCTACAGTAAGAAGACTGTATCAGTCATCAAAAAGTTCCAAACAAAGAAAAGCCCAGGATCAGATGGCTTAACTGGTAAATTCTATCAAACATTTAAAAAAGAATTAACGTTAATCTTCTTCAAACTCTAAATTGAAGAGAAGACATCCAAACTCATTTAATGAGGCCAATATTATGCCTGAGTAGCTGGGATTACAGGTGCCCGCCACCACACCTAGCTAATTTTTGTATTTTTAATAGAGACAGGGTTTCACCATGTTGGCCAGGATGGTCTCGACCTCCTGACCTCAGGATCCACCCACCTGAGCCTCCCAAAGTGCTGGGATTTACAGGCATGAGCCACTGCACCTGGCCAATAAAGTTGGACTCTTATCTTATAATGTACATAAAAATTAACTCAAAATGGATTAAGAGCAAGAATATAAAGCTCCTAGAAACAAACAGGGGAAAAGCCTCATGACACTAGATTTGGCAGTGCATTCTTGGTTATAACACCAAAAGTACAGGCAACAAAAGAAAAACTAAATACCTGGACTACATCAAAATTTAAAACTTTGGTGTAGCAGAGGACATTACCAACAGAGTAAAAAGACAACCCACAGAATAGAAGAAAATATTTACAAATCATATCTGATAAAGGATTAATATTCAAAATATATAATCCAACAGCAACAACAGAAAGATTTCAAAAATAGGCAACAGATTTGAATAACCATTTCTCCAAAGAAGATATACAAATTCCCACAAGCACATGAGAAGATGTTCAACATTCTAATCATTAGGTAAACACACACCAAATCCACAAGATATCACCTCACACCCATTAGGATGGCTACTATTAAAAAAAAAAAAAGGAAAATCAGTGTTGATGAGAATATGGAAAAAAGTGAAACATTCGGACATTGTTGATGAGGATATAAAAATAGTGCAGCCACTATGAAATAATATGACAGTTTCTCAAAAAATTAAAAATAAAATTACCATATAATCTAGCAATTCCAATTCTGAGTATACACCTAAAATAACTGAAAGCAGGGATTCAAAGAGATACTTACACACCCATATTCATAGCTCCATTATTCACAATATACAAAAGGTATAAGCAGTCAAGGTGTCCATTGATGGATAACTGATAAACAAAATGTGGTATGTACAACAGATTATTCATCCTTAGGAGGAAATTCTGACATATGCTATAATATATATATAACTTGACATTATAAGTGAAATAGCCAGTCACAAAAGGACAAATATTGTATGATTCCACTTATATGAGGTACCTAGAGTAGTCCAGCAATATAGCAGACTAGTTATAATGACAAATCTTTCTGGTATAAAAAAGCTTACGATTTTAAAACTTAAAATTTTTAAAATTTAAGCTTATGAATTAAAAACTTTCTTTTAGCTGCATTACCAAGCTAGCAAGAAATTAAGGTAAACTTTCTGAGGTCAAGCAGACTCTAGAAGGTACTTTCAATTAAGTAAGGTAGAACTGAAGCTGGGAGCATCAATTTATCCCTGGTGAGTTTGGTCTTAGGCACATGTAACTGGAGTTTTAGGAAAAACAAACACAGAGAATGGGAGAGTGGCAATATGTGAAGAGATAATCACTGATAATTACCCAGAGCCCATTAATGGTCAGATTTAAAAAATCACAGTAAATCCCAACAGCTGAAATTTACATCTAGCTACATCACATTGAAAATACAGAATAACTGGCTGGGCGTGGTGGCTCACGCCTGTAACCTCAGCACTTTGGAAGGCTGAGGCAGGCAGATCACCTGAGGTCAGGAGTTCGACACCAGCCTGGCCAACATGGTGAAACCCTGTCTCTACTAAAAATAAATAATTAGCTAGGTGTGGTGGCAAGCACCTGTAGTCTTAGCTACTAGGGAGGCTGAGTCAGGAGAATTGCTTGAACCCAGAAGGCGAAGTTTGCAGTGAACTGAGATCGCGCCACTGCACTCCAGCCCGGGCGACAGAGACTCCATCTCAAAAAAAAAAAAATACAGAATAACCAAAAGGAAGTTCTTAAAAATTGCAAGAAAGAATGTATTAATGAAAACTGACTTCTCAATACCAAGAACAGAAGCCAGAAAAGCATGGAATAGTTTCTTTAAAGCACTCATAAAAATAATCTGTCACTGGGCACGGTAGCTCATGCCTGTAATCCCAGCACTTTGGAAGGCAGAGGCAGGTAGATCACGAGGTCAGGAGTTTGAGACCAGCCTGGCCAACATAGTGAAAGCCCATCTCTACTAAAAATACAAAAAATTAGTTGGATGTGGTGGCAGGCACCTATAATCCCAGTTACTAGGGAGGCTGAGGCAGGAGGCTCCCTTGAACCCAGGAGGTGGAGGTTGCAGTGAGCCGAGATCGTGACACTGCACTCCAGCCTGGGCAACAGTGCAAGACTCCATCTCCAAATAATAATAATAATAATAATAATGTCAATCTATGACTGAGAAAAAGTCATAGATTTTTGTTGGAGTGTCGTGATCTTAGCTCACCACAACCTCCGCCTCCCGGGTTCAAGGGATTCTCCTGCCTCAGCCTCCCCGGTGTAATCCCACCTGTAGCTGGGATTACAGGTGCCCACCACCACGCCCAGCTAATTTATTTTTTTTTTTTGTATTTTTAGTAGCGACAGGGTTTCATCATGTTGGCCAGCCTGGTCTCAAACTCCTGACCTCAGATGATCCACCCACTTGCCTCAACCTCCCAAAGCACTGGGATTACAGGCCTGAGCCACTGTGCCTGGCTGAGGAAAATAGTTTTTAAAGACTAAGAGGCTTATGAAACCGAGAGGAAATGGGACTTATTAGAAAGGAGTCAGCAAAGTGAGAGAAGACAGATAATTAAAAATAACAAATGTGGGAGAACATCCAAAAAGGCCCCAAATTTCTATGAAGACCTAGAACATTGGAGAAGAACTTGAAAGCCTGAAAAATGAAGAGGTGATACATTTGAGTCAGGCTGAGCTGTCACTTGCAAAGATTTTTGCCTATTTCCTCTTCACTAACCTGAGCACAAGCCTTTTGTCAGCTCTCTCTTCACCATCCAGGGTGCTTTTCCTTGTTCCAACAATAATATCACACTTGGTTTGGAAAAGCAAAGTCCTGCAATATATGGAAAAAAATAGAATTTGTTCATGCAGCGGATATTCCAAACTCACATTCAATCCTTTGATCATCCAGGAAAAGGACATGCATTAGAAGGATAAGGAAGATGAAGCTTCCCCAGCATAAGCCAAGAATACGTTCACTGCCAAATCCATAAACACTAAGCCATTTGTTTGGCACAGGCAGTAGACATTCAGCAAAACTTTGCAGATGTTATCCAAAAACTCACAATAGTGGTAGCAAAGAGCCCCTTTTGAGCAGAAGCTCAATTTTGCAAGAAGATATCCTTACCCAGTGATACCAAGATCCTGTAGTTCTCCAGCATCACATTACTATACAGATGTCTTTGAGAAGAATCCAGACAATCCCACTCCTCTTGGGAGAAGTCTACAGCCACATCTCTGAAGGTCACCAACTCCTGACATGAAACAAATGAAAGAACCATATTCACCTCATTTACTCTGCCCTGGGCACACTGGGCTCTCTCTGATATTACATCCTCAAATATATAACCATGTTATCGTATTTATATTCAGACCCTTTGTATGCCTCAGATTATTCCAGTATAAAATAGCAGTATTCCTACCCCAATTCCCTATTCCCTAACCCTGCTTTATTTTTCTCCACAGCAGTTAATTATTTTATTCATGGCCTGTTCTTCACCCTCCTCAACTTTATAAAATTTCAGCTCCATGAGGACAGAGTATGTTTTGGTCACTGCTTTATTCCCAGGTACAGAATAGAATCTGGCACATGTGAGGCATTCAGATATTGACTAAGTTGAATTAATCAATGAGTGGTTTGAAGAAAATTTCAAGAAGCTAGAAAGGGATCAAAAATGATCCCAGAAAGTATTCACTATATCTCTGAAAACTGTGCTAGACCAAGCAGAGCAGGGCATCAATTCCATTAAAATTCAAATACTCTAATCCAGAGTTCTCAAAATTTTGTGTAAATAAATAGGTGTTGTACTCATAATATTGCTGCTGCCTACTGGGATTAGAGAAAGTTCTGAAAAACCTGACTGTTGGCTGGGCGTGGTGGCTCACGCCTATAATCCCAGCACTTTGGGAGGCCAAGGTGGTTGGATTATCTGAGGTCAGGAGTTTGATACCAGCCTGGCCAACATGGTGAAACCCTGTCTCTACTAAAAATACAAAAATTAGCTGGCTGTGGTGGTGCATGCCTGTAGTCCCAGCTACTCAGAAGGCTGAGGCAGGAGAATTGCTTGAACCCAGGAGACAGATTGCAGTGAGCCAAGATTATGCAACTACACTCCAACCTGGGTGACAGCGCGAGACTCCATCTGAAAAAAAGCTGCTGTCATGCCTTTGGATTCCAGGTTTCTATAATGTGACCACTTGCTGATGAAACAAACATACATTATATAAGTATTAATTTAATTTTTTACAAAATTTTTTACAAAATTAAAACCTGTCAATGTAACTTTTTACATTTGACACAATTTTGTTACCGTTAAAGAAACTGTCTCTGGGCTGGGTGGGGTGGCTCACACCTATTAGGGGAGGCTGAGGCGGGCTTATGACTTGAGGTCAGGAGTTCCAGACCAGCCTGGCCAACATGGTAAAACCCTGTCTCTACTAAAAAAATACAAAAATTAGCTGGGCCTGCTGGCACGCACCTATAACCCTATAATCCCACTCCAGAAGCTGAGGCAGGAGAATTGTTTGAATCGGGGAGGCAGAGGTTGCAGTGAGCTGAGATTGTGCCACTGCACTCCAGCCTGGGCAACACAGCAAGACCTTGTCTCAAAAATGAAACAAAATGAAAAGAAAGAGCTATCTCTACAGAAGCAAAATTCTTCAACACTTAGTAATCTTTTTTCTAACTTAATTATATGAAGTAGGTAAACCTCTCCCTCTCTCCTGCTGCGAACAGTAGAGTTTATATGGTATACATACTTCCTAAAATGGTGTCCTTAGCTTATATAAATACATATAATAAATTTATAAATATTTATATATAACACACATATTCCACTGATTCTTTATAGTCAACAAAGAATTTCAATGTCAACATAGGAGCTTAAATTCTATTCTTAAAATATTTGACCCCTAACAAATGATGATAATACTTGGTTTCAAAATCTATTCACAATTATCATCAAACCAGTCTGAAGCAAAACCACAGTTCCCACTTTTTACTGTTCTCTTTTTGCTCTTAAAGAAACATGGTCTCCAGCTGAGAGGATGACTTCCCCTCACGCCCTGTCACTGATGACTGTTTTATTCCCCACGTTCCTACTGCCACAGCACCTGAAGGTGAGGCAGGCCACCTCTTTGCTCTGGTTTCCAGGCCATTTCCTCTTCCCTAAAAGACATCTAGTTTTCAATATCAAGAAATTAGAATATGTCAATCACAATCCCTCCTTGTGATAGCTATCTACTAATTCTCTGTCATTATAGATACCAATTCTCTGTCATTCCTTAAATTCTTCAGCACCTGGCTCACTGTCACTCTCTTTAATGTCATTCCTATCATTCTTCGGTCTCTTCAATATCTACATAAATAATACTCCCCACAATCGGGCCTCTCGGTTCTCTGACCCCTCTCTCCTCTAGTGGCCTTACCCTCCACACTGCTACAGTCATTCACTTCCATGGCCATGACACAGATCTTGTCATTACCAGTCAGTACCAAACCCTTCATAACCTCAATTATCCCACTCTGACTTTTATCACCTATATCTCTTCTTTTTGTGACGAAGTCTCACTCTAGTTGCCCAGGCTGAAGTGCCATGGTGCGATCTCGGCTCACTGCAACCTCAGCCTCCCAGGTTCAAGCACTTCTGCCTCAGCCTCCCAAGTAGCTGGGATTATAGGTGCCCACTGCCACGCCCGACTAATTTTATTTATTTATTTTTTTTGTATTTTGGGTAGAGATGGGGTTTCACCATGTTGGCCAGGCTGGTCTCAAACTCCTGACCTCAGGCAATCTGTCCACCTTGGCCTCCCAAAGTGCTAGGATTACAGGCGTGAGCCACCATGCCCAGCCTCTGTCTCCTGGTTCTCAACTCTTGCCCTATGATACCCCAAACTGGATAGTTATCTGACTCCACCGGAAGTCAAATTCTGGAGAAGTACAACTCATTGATCTTACCACTTTTTACCACTTTTTCACTGTTCCTCATCCCTGAGTACTCTCACTTCCCAGCACAGATTATTATAACAGATTATAATCATCTGTTATAATCACTCCCATCATATGCCTTTGCCTTCCCTCTCTCACTGAACGTACTCACTTGGTTAAACTGCAGCCATCTTTCTGCTTACTCTGTGCCCATACTCTGCATAGCTGAACTCTGCAGGAGAAAATCATACCAGCCATACTAATTAGTCTCACTTTAAATTCATGATCACTTAACCTCATGTGGGCCGAAATGCTGCATGATACATTTCCCTAGTCCGTTCAGCCTTTTGCTAAATGACCGTTTGATACTGTCCCCTCTCTCTTCATACCTTTAAGATCTTCTTCCCCATGCTCACTCTCAGTGGACAATCTTGCTTATTCTCTCACTGAGAAAACAAAACCCATTCAAAGAGAACTTCCACAAACTCCCGCTACATCTACACATCCACCTGCACCTGTGCTTATACACCCTAACATGCCCTTCTCCTATAATTGAACAACCCACTTTTCTAGAAAAGACCAAACACTCAGCTCCTCTTACCTACCTAAGCACGTTGTTCCAGCAATTGCTTTTTCTCTATTCATCTTCAAATTTCCCTTTCTACTGAATCTTTAACTTCAGCCTGCCAACATATATCCATTGTCCTGAAACCTTGTCAATTAGACTTTCTCCTTCAGTTACCACCCATTTCTCTCCTTCTCTTACAGCTACTTTTTAAGAGTTGTCTATGCTCCCTATTATTTCCACCCACCCCCTGCCTATAAAGAATGGCATCATATGATTTAGGTGTTAACAGGATCGCTTTGGCTGCTCCACTGAGAACAGACTAAAGGAGAACAAGAGTAGATGTAGAGAGACAAGTTAGGAGAGTACCACAGAAACACAGCTGAGAGTCGATGGTTCAGAACATAATGGAAGCAGTGGTGATAGTAAAAAGTAGTCTGGGCCAGGTGCAGTGGCTCACACCTGTAATCCCAGCACTTTGGGAGGTTGAGGCAGGTCGATCATGAGGTCAAGAGATCGAGGCCAGCCTAGCCAACATGGTGAAACCCTGTTGCTACTAAAAATACAAAAATTAGCTGGGCGTGGTAGTACCTATAGTCCTAGCTACTCAGGAGGCTGAGGTGGGAGAATCGCTTGAACCTGGGAGCTAGAGGTTGCAGCTAGCCAAGATCGCACCACTGCACTGCAGCCTGGCAACAGAGCAAGACTCTGTCTCAAAAAAAAAAAAAAAAAAAAAAAGTAGTCTGATTCTGGATATATTTTGAAGTTAGAACCAACAGAATTTCCTGATGGAAGATTTTTAGCTTAAGTTGAGTTCCTTTTAGTTGAGTTAGCTTTTAGTTGAGTTCCCTGATTCTATCTTTGTCCTATTCAGTTTTTTCTCAGTAGCAGCCAGAGTAATCCTACTAAAATGAAAATCAGTTCACGTCACTCATGCTCCAAAACCGCCAATGCCTCATTTCACTCCGTTTGTAAAATGTTTGCATTTGAGATATCTCTTATGCAACCAAATGAAGATGTTTAGTAGGCAGTCAGATATACAGTCTAGAGTTCAAGAGACGTTTGGGCTGTATACAATTTGGTAGTTGTTGGCATAATGTACATGGCATTTGAAGCTATGAGACAGGATGAGATTACCAAGGTAGTAAGTGTAGATAGAGAACAGGATGAGGAACTAAGCCCTGTGACACCCAGTGGTAATGGGTGCTCACTAAAAATCTGAATGAATGATGTTTGCTTAGAGACTACAGTGAGGAAGTTGGTCTGTATCCATATCTGAGGGCAGTATCCCAGGCAGAGAGAATAGCAAGTGTGAGGCCATACGTTAAGAATGTACTCACAACATTACAAGGAAGCTGGTGTTGCTGGAACTGAGTTACTGAGTTAAACACGGGGTCAGAGGGAGAGTCAGGGACCAGATTATGCAGGGCCCTGCAGGTCAAGACAGGGATTTAAGCATTTATCTTGAATGAGACAGGAATCCAATGGAGAGTGTTGATAAGTGACACGACTGGTTACCCAGAAACATTTCAGCAGAAGCAAAATTAATATCTGCTTGTTCTGAAAAGCAGACAAGATATTCAGGGAAGAAAGAAAACACCAACGCACCTGGTACATGGCTTTAAGAAGCCCAACAGCCATTCTTCCTTCCTCCTGGCTCTTCTCTTGGGAAATAGCAGTGGCCTCAGATGACTGAGATGGGGAAAAGAACATGAGAAACTAGGCTTTTCTTGCAGCATCCAGAGTCACCAGTCTAGACTTTTTAGGCTTCTTTCCTCTTCCTGCAACCTTCCCTCCAATAGAGAGAGCATAATGGAGACCTAGGAATTTGTTTGCATACAATTTAACTCATGCCTAAATCTTTTTTTTTTTTGGAGACACAGTTTCCCTCTTGTTGCCCAGGCTGGAGTGTAATGGCCTGACCTCGGCTTACCACAGCCTCCGCCTCCCGGGTTCAAGTGATTCTCCTGCCTCAGCCTCCCGAGTAGCTGGGATTACAGGCATTCACCACCACGCTCAGCTAATTTTGTATTTTTAGTAGACACGGGTTTCTCCATGTTGGTCAAGCTGGTCTTGAACTCCCGACCTCAGGTGATCCTCCCGCCTGAGCCTCCCAAGTGCTGGGATTACAGGCATGAGCCACCGCACCTGGCTGCCTAAATCATTTTTTAATTCCTCAGCTTAACTGTTGTTAGGTTTTACAAATACCGTCTTAGAGGAATGTAAGCTTTTACAAAAAGACACAGAACTAATAAATAACAGCACCAAGGTCAAATAAAAGAGTACCTGACCCCACAATCCTCTCCAGTAAGATCAGTGATTCTGAAACTTGGTGGCACATTGATATGACTTGGCTGGCTTTAAAAGCCTCTCGGTGGCACACAGTCTCTCACGCATTCCCTGACGTACCCAGTGTGTGAAAAACTACAATGCCAGCCACCGTCTTACGCACGCCACAGTCCAGTCAGAGGCCATGGGTATGGGCTGCCTGACAAGGGCACCCTTTCCCATACCGGCAAGGCTCAGACACCAGGGTATCTATCACAAGTGACAATCACAATCCAGTCACAAAGAGGCTGCGGGTATCGGCCCAACGGGGGTCAGCGAACACTCGCCCGCTCCCGCCCTAACTCAGCCTCACACTCCACGGTGCCATTGACTCCCTCGCACCCAGTCACACAGGACGCGGACAGGCACAAGCGGTGACAGCCTCGCACTGAACGGTAGCAACCTCCGCTCGTACCGGAGTCACACAGAGGGCCTGGAACGAACTTCCAGAGACCCACAAGCCACTCTTCAGTCTACTCCCTACCTGCAGAACTGAACTGCGGGAAGATCCCATTCCCGCCCCGAAGGCAAGGGGAATCTCCACTTTGCTCTCACCCCTACCCTGAGTTGGAGGGAACCCAGCACCCGCGGGCCCGGAAAGAAGCGCCTCAGCTGCCTCCGCCGCCGGAGGACACAAAGGGGCCGCCGGCCCAGCTCTCGCGGGGGCCGCTGGGAAACGTAGTCCGCAGTAGAAAAGGTCGCAGGGCCGCAGGATATGACAGCAGCGGTGCAGCTCCGCGCGGAGTTCGTGATGTCGCCTCCTTCCCAGTAGGCTCTCCCACGCTGGCCTCTCCCCGGCCTTCCAGCCTGGAGCCCCAAAGTCCGGATTCCCTGCAGCTCCGAGCCTGGCTTGGCTACAGGAACGGGGCCCAGCGTCACACTACACGGACTGGTATGGAAGTGCGCAGGCACGGGCGCTCCGCGCGCCTCCCTTAGCAACCAAGGGCGGGGAGTTGAGAACAGCGGGTTGGCCTCAGGAAAAAGGTTTGTGCGTGGGAACGCACTGCTGGCGCGTCTACACAAAGTGGGTGGGAGGCGAATTCCTAGAATTGTGCTGGATACCCGAAAAAAGTTGGTGGGGGCCAGGAGATATGCTGCGCAAGCGCACTACGTTCCTGCCAGTCTCCCAGCTCGCTACCCTCGTGCTGGGCGCCGTGGTTCACGCCTGTAATCCTAGCACTTTGGGAGACCGAGGCGGGAGGATCACTTGAGGTCAGGAGTTGGGGACCAACCTGGCCAATATAGTGAAACTACGTCTCTACTAAAAATACAAAAAAATTAGCCAGGCGCACGCGCCTGTAATCCCAGCTATTCAGGAGGCTGAGTCAGGAGAATTGCTTAAACCCGGGAGGGTAAGGTTGTAGTGAGCGGAGATAGCGCCAGTGTACACCAGCCTGGGCGACAGAGCAAGACTCTGTCTCCAAGAAAAAAAAAAAAAAAAAAAAAAAAGAACTCCTGACCTCGGATGATCCACCGACCTCAGCCTCCCAAAGTGCTGGGATCACGGGCGTGAGCCACCGCGTCCAGCTTCTTATCTTTTTATTAAAGGTATTAAGACCGGCCCCGTGCGGCTCATGCCTGTAACCCCAGCACTTTGTGAGGCCCAGGCGGGAGGATAACTTGCTCAGGAGTTCGAGACCAGCTTGGGCAACATAGCGAGACCTCATCTTTACTAACAATTAAAAAAAAAAAATCAGCCAGGCCGGGTGTTCCGTGTTTGTAGGTTACTCGGAAGGCTTGAGGCAGAGAATCGCTTGAGCCCGGGAGTTCGAGGCTACAGTGAGCAAGGATCGCGCCGCTGCACTCCAGTCTGGGCAACAAAGGGAGGCTCTGCCAAAAAAAAAAAAAAAAAAAGACTAAAGGCATAGAGCAGTTAAGTAGCTAGTGTAAGATGACACAGCTAGTAAGACCAAGTCTGTTTAGAATCCAGGCGGTCTGGCCACACTATTTTTCACTCACGATCCCAGGTCATTTACTCCAATAACACTGTCATAGTCACAATCGAGAAGTCCAGAAAGAACGAATATACACGCACACCGTCTCTGACAAAAATGCAAGGTCAGAATCAGTCACGAGAACATAAAACGCGACGTGGTCACACAAAAGTTTGCACATTCGCACGACCTCAGATGTCACTGGACCTCAGTGTTTCTCGCCCCAGAAACTCCAAACTCCAAATTCCGTGGCCGAAGTTTCACACACACAGTCACTCCTCCCTGTTGTAGCCGCTGCGAGGACCTTACGGCTCCAGCTGACCTAGCCTTCACGGGCCCTTTTACTCTCACCACCTTCACCCCGCTGTATTCCAGTCTCCAGTAGAGACCCGAACACACGGAACTAAACAGACTGAGCCGGGATTCCTTCACGGATCCCGCAAGCCTGCAGCTCCAGCCGACAGTAAGAAGGAAGTGCCTTTTTGTAGGGAAGAGAAAAAAAAAA